CTCTGATTATGACAGGCGTCTAACGTTCCTTGCACAAATGTCGATTTGGGAGGCTGAAGAGAGCGTTCTTCCATTTATCCAATGGACTAACTAAATCCAACTTCTCCTCTAATGTTATACTAAACCATTAGGTGGTTCACAGTATCAACGCTTGGTGTAGACTTCTGCTGGTGCTGTTCCTCAAATTTTTGAGGAAGGTTTACCAACACTATCAGTTCCTCTTCAACAACGACAAAGAATGATTTTCCAGCTTGATGGACGCCCCGCACACAATTTTGCAAGTGAGGTGTTATTTGAATCACCACTTCCGGGATAGATGGATAGGACCTCATGGACCGATCTGTTGGGTTCCTCGGTCACCCGGATTTAACTCCACCTGACTATTTTCTGTGATGCCATTTAAAAAACAGTGTCTACGCCAATCATAATCCAGCAATCTAAGTTGAAGAATGCGAAAAGGATAGAAAATGCTTGTCAATCCATCTCCCCTGACTCCGCTTTAAGCACCGGTGAAGAGTCGTTAAAAAGAGCAAATCTTTGCATCTTTACGTAAGGCAGGCAGTTGGAACATGAAATGCGATTAATAAAAAGCAAATCAAAGACTGTTTTTTCTACATTTTTGCCATAACTTTGTCATTTTTTAACCAATTTAAAATCCGATTGAACCATTGTTTTTAGCGTAAAATTCCTTCAAAATAATGTGTCAGGATGTATAGGATCGTATTTGAAATGATGAAGTGGAACTGGGCCTGAGGTACCTTGAATAATTTTTCTGCAACAAAAGGTAAAAATTTGAAACTAGACTAAAATGCGCCATCGGTTCAGGAGAAATTCTGCCGGGCCATCTCAAAAGTAAAAAAAGTAGTAGTAAGTAAAGAAAGTAATTACTCTTTGCCTTAAAGTTGAATGAACATAAAACAGAGTTATTAGGTGGGAATTGTTCCAATCTAGTATGTTAAGTCGTCTTCTATTACAGTAATTTTTGGGACATAGGATCGCTGAACGTCCAACTAACCGTGGAGTGTAGTTGACAAGAGGTAAGAAACTTGAATTGAAGAAAATTGAACCCAGCCCTCTAGCGTGGAAAATGTGACTTGGAAGCCCTATCAACTCGACCACCAGGTTCAACTTATACTTCTATAATAATGCTAATTTGGAAACCACCTATAGAATTTACAGAAAAAATGTTATTGAATTATTTCTTATTAAAGGTTGCTCTATTAAAATTATTGGTCCTCCGGGCCGGATTTGGATTAGAGACGCGAAATCCGGCGCCGACCATAATTTCCATAGATATTTCTTTATCCGTGTATTTTACTCAATATTGAATTAAGTTTTTATGGGTATCTATACGAGGCAGTTTGTTGTATCCCATTACCTACTCGTTCCCATTCCTACATTTGCGACTTTTTCCTCACAGAACTCGATATTTCTGACCCAGATTATTCTTTCCAGGATATTGTGTTCGGATTCATTTCTTCTTAACTTCTATTCCTTCGTTTACAATTAACAACCAATTTCCTTCTGTCCCACTGTCAAGAAGCTTGGGATTGCCCTAGATCAGGCCTGGCCGCCTTATGTCTCCCAGATTTCCCGACGCTGCTTCTCCACCCTCCATTCCGTCGTACCAACCTTCAGAACTCTATATTTCCTAAATCAAGAAAGTCAACTATTTTAAAACCGGTAAATAAAATTTTTAATCTTGCTTTACCCAGTGAACTCCGACCAATATCCATTCTAACCTCCTAAACCCCTTTGCAAACGTCTACCTACTCAGAAAACTCAAATCTCTTTGCTTCTTTCCAATCTGGTTTCCTAGGTTTTCCATACAACCTGCTTTGCTACTAAGAATCACCACCGACATACAAACTTCTACTGACCAGTGTAAAATCGCCATATTTGACCTTTTCGATTTTTCTAAATCCTTTGATCTGTTTTTCTGCTCGTGCCATTCTTCCTTTCAGACGTTCTCAATTAAGTCTCCTTCCCAAACCAGCCTCCATCCTCTTTCATATTCATCACTTCTGGAGTTCCTCAGGGCTCAAGCAACTCCGCTTCGCTGTTTTGCTGTTACATTAATGACTTCCCAAAATCTCTTTAATGTTGCCTTTTTCACCTTTATTTACAAGTCTCAAATTTACCTTTTCTTCTTACCAATTTCTGACTTACAAGTTTGTACCTTGTATTTATTTAGGAAGACTTAAACTCAACCTCCTAGGCCGCTGAAAATCTTATGAGGGCTTATCTTGAACATAGAACAGTCCTATCAATTAACAATCATTTCCCTTCAGTCAAGAACCTTGGGATTGTACTAGATCAGACCTTGTCCTGAAAACCCAACATCTCCCAGATTTACTCCTAGTTTCCTCTCATATTCCGACCCCATTTTAATTATGGATGTGATGTGTACAGGGGATTCATTGCGGAGTCTCTTCTTACGGCAATATATGATGCCCCGAGTTCAAAAGCCACCAGAGTGAGCAGTTTTACTATAATTTTAGTTGGTTGACTATGTGGTTGACTGTCAGCTTAATTTCCTCCATTGGGTTCTAGTTACTCAATTAATACGAGCATTAGCTTGTAAAATAAGTCCATGGCGTTTTGTAATAATTCGATTTTATTCCTATTGTGTTCATTATTGTTTACACACTCCAAAAACATTTCTAGTTAAGGTATTTTTATTCGTAATTTTTGTTAAAGATCTAGTATTTTTACAAGTTGTGCTAATATAATGCTAATAAAATAGTGCATTTTTTAAAATGAATGCTATTTTTACTAGACAAATGGGGAAATTGCTTACACTGCTAGGAAAATATGAACGGTGACAACAAATAACGCATTATTTTGGAGAAAGCACCTCCCCAAGTAAGTGGTTTGCTCTGATCAGAAGCGGAAATTTTGATTTGTAAGACGCAAAGCGTTTTGTCCGCCCTTGACCGTTGATGAAGTTGCGTTCGACTTCAGAGCGGCTGGATTATTATTGTATATAACATTAGTTTGATAATCCTGAGTGAAATTGTTTTATTATGTCTTTAAGGTGCAAATTGTACGGAATTATCCCATAAATAGATAAGAGGCTTTTACTACTCCTGCGGCGATATTGTAGCCACGCCGGATAATTTTATTTTTACCCCGTTGTTTTTGTTTCTGTAGACCTATTTTATTTGTGTTGGGATCAGAAAAGCCGAATCGTATTTCAGCTCAGCGGTGTTTTAATTGTGTTGAGATTAACGTGCTTTGCACGGAAGTATCATAAAGAGTGATTTCCTGCCTGTTTTTAACTTCTTATCTCTTATGTTTGGATAATACCGTGCTTCGATAGAGAATTTTTTAAAAAAATTGGTCATTTTTATATTCTATATGGACTAATGCCCGATTGGAATAAAAATGAAGATATTATCTTATAGATATTAGATATATCCGTTCAATAAAAGATCAATCAACGAAGTCAATATTGACGATCGGACTACTATGGACTATTAGATTGCTATACTTCCTACTTAACCTTAGATCTGTTTTTGGGCTGGATACACAATTATTTTTTGCTTGAATATTTTCGCGTTATCAGGAAGTGCGCATGGGTTGGGTTGAGTTAGGTCAGACATGGCTGTTATAAAGGGTTAGTGTTACGTTAGGTTAGGGTTAGGGACGATTTAGGCTCTGCTTAGGTTAGATTATGTCAGGATGTGGGATCGTGTAGGCAAGTGAGGAGGGTTTGATGGTTTGAGCTAGGTCAGTATATTTCGTTAGGTTAGGTAAATTTAATTCGAGTTTTAAACACAAATAGCATGCAACGACATAAGAAATCAGAAGCAGTTAACATATCTCATGCAAGAGTTTCAACATGACAACAGCTCGATATGCTTGATGAGTTCTTTACATGTGGAATGAGAATTTCTTATAGCGCATCTCAATCTGCGATTCCCTCCTAAAACGCAATGCGATCCACTTTTTAAAAAGATTGATAACTGGGAATGAAAAGTGATCGAAAACAAGTTCTGAGAGAAAAATACTGATGAAGCCGTTTACAACTTAAAAAGCCGGTTAACATCCCAAGAAGGTCCTGGGTTGAAAAGGGGAGCTTTATTATGAGATTCTTCCGCTCGACCAATTCCAGTGTAAGCCGCACACAATTGGAGCAATTGACCAAAACCAACCATTATTGGCTAATTGCAATTAACACTCGCGCCCACGTGCCTTTACAGACGCTCTACAAATTTCAGAAGGTTGCCTGGGATGTGTTTCGATTTTCACGTATTCAGGGTTCTACAAAACTTTATTAATGGAAAAAAACAATAAATCAAATATTATGAAATCAAAAAGAAAACATTGACAAACTATTTCAATTTTTACGAGTTAATAGCCTAACTAATAAACTTTAATTTTCATTATAAATATTATCTATCAAGGCGGGCATGACCCTTGTGTTTCATCGTATATAATAAAGGGCAAAACTTCATTTCATCGCTAAAAAAGCCTGAAAAGTTCTGGAGGCCCTCCGGGGAATTACAAACTTACATTGAAGATGGCAACAGGTAGTAGAAGAAATGAAGAAATTGAATTTATCAACAAAAGTACTTAAAGTTACGATCCTAGTATCAATTTTTCGCGTCCATTAATTTATACTTTGAGTTTTAACTCTGTTACTAAAACTTGTAAACTTTTCTACCGGACTTAGTGTATCAAAATTGCGCAAATTTTGAGTGCAGATTGTATAATGTAAGCTAATTTAAGAAAGGATTTTGCAACGGTTTACTGGAAGCTTCCGATAAATAAAGGCACATTGAACGATCCCAAGTCACATGAAAAGTCGTGAGTGAAACTATTTTGGATTTCAAGGCTTGCACTGCCATTTACTTTTAAATCCCGGCTTCTGCCACATCGGAAATCAAGCAGGTCTTAGAAATGTTTACGAACTAGTTAAAAAAACAAAATCCTATTTTTACTAAATGTATATATTTTGTTGTCGAGAAATTGTCTGAAAATCTGTCCTCTTTCATCGGGAAACAATGAAAGTGAAAATTAATTGGTACATATAAAGGGATACAACATCTGACAAAATATCCATATGATCATGAACCACGAAAAATAAATCCTAGGTCACATTTTTTAATCACATAAATAAATCTATGTATAAAATCTGACACAAAATTTACTACGCCAACACAACAAGTATGTTCCAGAAGAGGACACTCCGGGTACTAATAAATCAAAGCATTCGAAGGCACTACCACCCGGTCGGCTGCGGAGACTGCTCTTACGAAGAACAACTTTGCGAAGGGAAGGTAAAAATATCATAAAGCTTCTAGTCATCTTTTCCTAGGCGTAACAACAGACAAACATTTTTTTTTTAATTTCAAATGATTTCGGCGTTTACTTTTAGCGAGGCCTCGTCCTAGGAGCCTACAACACTTGCGAAGAAGGGAAATACGAGCTGACTAAATATGGCAAAGTCTTCGATGCCAAAGTTGAAGGGAGGATTTCAGCGCTTTTGAACAAGTAAGCCGTCAATGAACATATTTTTAACACGTTATTTTTATTCAATTTTTTTACCGCGTGATTCAAAATAGCTCGGGGATAGATTTGGGCAACGCGAGAGTTTTCAATGGGCTGGATGAGTTTTACGGTGTTGCAGTGGCCGGCCTCGGCCACAAAGAAGCGGGAATGAACAGCAAAGAATGTCTCAACGAATGCAAAGAGAACATCAGGATCGCGTCGGCAGTCGGCGCCCGAGCTTTACAGAAACAGGTCCCTTTTTCGGAAAAAAAATCAAAATTGTCAACATTTAAAAATCAAATTATAATTTCAGACAATAGAAAACATCATGGTTGAAGGATTCACTAACGAGGAGGCCGCGGCGGAAGGTGCCATCCTAGGCCTCTGGAGATTTCAAGAGTTCAGGAACGAGGAGGAACGCGACGTCCGTCCCAAAGTCGCCCTCTACGGCGAAGGTGCTTGCGCGTAAGTTCCGAGTCCTAGCCCAAACATAAAGGCCAAAATTAACAAAAATAACTTCTAGGGACAACTGGTCGAGAGGTGTCGTTAAAGCCAGGGCACAAAACTTGGCCAGAAGGCTATCCGATCTGCCTGCAAATATCCTCACACCGAGAGAATTCGTTAAGGTTAGACTTAGAAATAGTTGCATCAGAATGCTGGATCAGACAAGTACTGAAAGACTCAAAAATAGTTATTTTTTATTACTTTGAGGGATTTTAATTTTAGTAAGGTATCACAGTTGAAATTAATATACTGCTAAAGATGATAAAATTTAAAACGGCGAGGTGCAATGAGTTCTCGGAAGTCAAAAATACAAGCCGGCGTTTCACAAGGAAGCATTTTTGGTTCCATTCTTGGTATCGTTTATACTGCTGACCTACTTAGACATTCCAACACCAACATCACTGCCTACGCGGACTATACCTCAATTTTGTTCTAACTCAAATCCTATCAAAGCTATGTCCAACATCCAAGAACGTCTTGAGCTTATCGAAGACTGGTGCCAAAAGCGTAGTGCAAGGCTCTCTTCTCTGTTTGAACATTGAAAAAAATTCTTGGCCCTTTCACTCTCCCTGCCAACAACAAAGAGACACCGTTTTCCATTCAAGTCCTTACAACTTACTTAGGCAGAAGACTGACGTAGAATCCCCACACAAGTCTTAAGAGAACTTTACTGAAGACTTCCAGGACCAAAATCTGCCTTGCTTGTCAAAATTCAACTATCCTATACAAACTTTTAGCGATTACTTGGGACATAGCAGTGGAACTGTGGGATTCTGCTAAGCCATCCAACATCCGGCGTATCCGATGATCCTTCCAATCAAAAGTCCTCAGAATATTTCCAATGTTCACTACCCAGAACGACCACAACGTTCCTTTTGTCAACGAATTGATTCCTGATTCCAAAGAAACTTTTACACTAACTTCTCGATCCATCCTAACCCTACTGCTCAAGCCTTCTCTACACATTCCCATCACGAGAAGCCCCTCAAGAGCATACTTTCGTTCATCTACTTTCTCATCTTCCTCTTCTTTTAGGCCAACTAGTCCTTCTCTGACAATCCTGTTAAGGCTAGAGTTACACAGAGTACTTTGTTCGTCTCATCCTGTATTCAGCCTTCACCACTGACCTCTCTAACACCCCGATATTTATTTAAACTTTTGAGATTATATCTATTCTATCCTCCAATTAAGACGCGTGCTTATAGGCTCACCTTTTCAACATAGAACCTTTGCTGGAAAAGTAGCGAATAAAACCTAATGCCTTATTTTGAAGCTTAACATCCCGTATTATTTTCAATAATTCTCCTAGGAGATTAAAGAGGCAGTGGCCTCGAGATCTGCTGGGGATCGAGACGTAGTCACTAGAAAGATGAACCGGCACGGTCATTTATTGGGTCGTCTTCACTCACGGGTTATTCAACTACACAAACGCATTTCAGCATTGCACCATCTTCAGTGAGGAATATGTACCCAATCAGTGATCTAGTGCCGGTTCAGCACGAGTTCACCAAATCGCAGACCAACACTACAAGAATCATTAAATGATTTTTCCATCTGGAGACGGATTTTTTTTTTTTTTTTTAATTTCCATATATCAATAATTTTACTTGTAGTACATATAAATGTTGCAGAAAAAATCTACAATTAGATCGTTACCAGGCTATTTCAAGACGATTTTGTCTAGCGTGGGTTTGACCGAATTTCAGCCGAGACTGATGCTCCATTTTGAATTGTTCTTTATTAATTAATTTTCCATTAGCACTTAACAAAGACCTTTGTAGGCTGCGTTGTATTATCTGTGCCCGTGTGGAGTTAACGTCCAGGTCAGAGATTACAAATGGATCCTGAAAAACGGGATGAACGCCTTTTTCAACATGGCGAAAGGGTCCTGTTCGCATCCGTACTTTTTAGAATTGTCGTACTGCGGCGGTGGTGAAAATGATAAACCTGTCGTCTTGGTAGGTACGTGTGTTTTGATCTCTTTGGATGTTCTTGCTCGCCGCTCTACCACGACAGTATGTAGTACTACACGGACGTTCTCACTCTCGGATGTCTTTTCTTCGCAGGAAAAGGGACGACTTACAACTCGGGCGGCATATGTTTAAAAGAGTGTGAGAGGATGTCAGAAATGAGAGGCGACTGCGCCGGTGCGTCGACGATCATCGGAACCATGAAAGCGGCAGCACAGTTCTCATACCCCATGAATATCGTTGGTATATACCTCGCTATCTCTATGAATTAAGCCTTCTCGCCAGGAAATTTACACGTCCGACCTTAGGTCTGATTCCTCTGTTCGAGAACATGCCGAGTGGGAACGCCGTCAAACCAGGAGACATCGTCCTGGCCCTCAGCGACCAGACAATCATGGTCGAGAACACGGACAACGAAGGCAGAGTGGCTCTCGCGGACGCCCTCGTTTATGCCAACAAGTTTTCCCCCTGCTTGACCGTCTCAATCGCGACACTGACCAGTAAGTTTGTCACCCCGATACCCGATCCCATCCGTTGTAACATAACGACTCTTTGCAGAGAGCATTAGGTCAGCTTTAGGTTCGGGAGCGTCGGGAGCGTACTCGACTGACGACACAATCTACGAAGAGCTCAGGTCGGCCGGTGCAGACACGGGTGACCGGGCCGTCCGCCTTCCTCTATGGGATCACTACGACAGGAGGAACAAATGTAACCCGGATTAACAAACAACATAAATTCTTTATTATTACTGTTTGTTTTATTTTCAGACCACATCGGAGTCGACATGCACAACGTTGGCTACATGGGAGAAGTCAAAGACGGAGAAACCGCACTTGGTGCCGCCTTTCTAAATGTAAGCACAGGAAAATCCGTATATAAATTCCGCGACCAAACTGAATTTTTTTACAGGAGTTCGCCCCGAAATGCGCCGAGTTCTTGCATCTGGACATCACCGGTGTCGGACTCCTCACAACTGGCAAGGTGATTCCGTATTACAGGGAAGGCTACATGACAGGCAGGCCAACAAGAACAGTAATCCAGTTCCTGAAACAACTTTCGACACCGACCGATACCAACAACACAACCAAATGTTAACGATATACGATAATATTGTATATATACTTGTTTTTTACCTGTGACACAATTAAATCATTGACATTTCAACGCTCGTTTAAACGGAAGTTTTCAATCATTGAAATAACAACAACAAATTGGGGAAAACAAATTTAATGCTATGACGTGACATGAAGTACAAACAGTTATTTTAATTGAGGAGGGTGCATGATGAATAGGACGTCTTCTCGCCCTTGAACACGCTAGGCCAAGGCCGAGAGCTCAGCTATTCAAATCGGCGTACCCGCCCATTGAAGAATCGACGGGCTCCTACCCGAGAGCAGAATACTTAAATGTCACAAAATTGACAATCAATGAACTTTCAGCTAGATGTCAATACATCAGGAGGTTATGCTAAATATCAAATTGGATGAAAAATCCCGATTCTCAATTTGAATTCGAGATATTTCACTTTTCAACATCCTTACCGAACTTCCCTCCTATTCATATGTCATTTATACTGTAAATTTTTTACCCCAATAGAAACAGCATTCAAAAACCCATTGAGATTCATTGGTTTCATTTCGTTGCGCGTCAAAAGTACGATAGGACCCAGAGAGTTTTGAACTGCAGAATCATCCTAACCCGATTCTGAATCGGCCATACGCGGTTGACATATGTAAACTTTCTTTTGGGCCATAGCTCGCGTGTCCTCATGCAGAAGAAGATAGTTCGATGAGTCCCACGTAATAGGGTGTCTTTGGCCCCATATAGAAAGCGTGTAGGAATACAATCAATATTTTAGCCCTCCCCTATTATTTTATTACATGTAGGAATATTTCTACAGGGTATCCAGTGAACATTATTTCCCATGGGGGTCACAATGTCATCAGAATGACGATGAGGTTCTTTAGCGTGCGCACTTGGCACATGGGCAATGTCACATGATTCTTAAGACAGAAGTGACACCTCACAAGTTGTCCGTGTTAATCCTGTGACTTTTCCAGCTTCGCCCTTCTGAAGGGGTGGGCCGACATCATATACTCAACTGTGTGCCGCATAGCATTGGAAAGTCGCTCACTAGGTACTGAAAGGCAATTGACTAACTATACTATCTATTTAGAGAAGGTCGAATTTCTAATCACCTCTTCAGTAAAGAAAGTCGATGAAAGCACCACCGAACAACAGGGTCTACTCTAAATACCCGCCAGGGGACTCACCAGTGGGCCATTACGGTGTCCCGTGAACAGACGTCAATACTTCAGAAGGTTATCCTAAGTGACAATTTGGGCTAAAAATAGATTCTCAGTTGAAGTATTGTAAGTGCAATGCCAGCCAGATTCAGATGTGCTTCTGGCAACCTCAAGTAATACGCCTTTAGCTACCCCTGGGGATATAGAAAAGGCAAACTACCTCTGGCTTCGGTTGACTGGTACCATCCGGCTAAGGTACAGTTGTTCTCAAACCCCGACCTCATAATACTACCTCGTTCACTAGAGCAGCTCGGAAACTTATAACCGCGGTTCAAAATTATTTTTAAAATGGGACATACCCACTTGGTAGTCCGATGATAATAATGGAATAAAGATTCAAAAGTGTGATGAACGTGTTCCTGTATCATTATTTTTGATGCATGTAAACTACGGACATTTTATACGTTCATTATAGTTCACTTATCACTAACGAATGTTATAGCCTTCTTAGTAGGTTTTGTCAGTGCCATCTTGATTGACATGCCTTCTAGATCTCACTGTATATTCTAGCCGTCATAAATCTTTTAAAATAAAGTTCCAAAGGCCTGATGGAGGTGTTCCTGTATCATTATTTCTGCTGCATGTAAACTACAGGTATTATATACCTTCATTATAGTTGAATTCACGATCACTAACGAATTATATAGCGAATTATATAGCCTTCTCAGTAGGTTTTGCAAGTGCCATCTAGATCGACATGCCGTCTAGATCTCCCTGTACATTCTAGCCGCCACAAGTCCGTTAAAATAAAGCTCCAAAGGCCTGATGGTGTTCATGTTTCATTATTTCTGATGCATGTATACTGTAAATAGTGTATACAATTAAAGTTTAATTATGAAAGTTGTTGTGTGGGTTGGGTTATGAAGTTTGATCGAATTCCAACGATTCATGTGAAATGTCCAGGATGTCCTGAGACGATAAAGCTGCGGCATTCTATTGAAAATATCTTGTTGAGTTTGTTGTCGTTTGCTATCATAAGGGAAACGTTTCTAAAAACCGGTCGTTCATGATCGAACCGTCTTATTTGTTTTGGCCGTGGAAGGTTGAAATAAACTCAACGATAAACATTGCATGCCGTACAACTGTTTAAAAAAGGTCGATTCCATGTCTGTCACCGCCATTCACCCTTTCGTCCTAAAAGTACCCTTTTCTTTGGTCCGCAGATAGTCGTAAAATGAAACCCTTGTGCCGAAGACCTTTTATTTATTCAGAAACGACAAATCGATCTGATTTTTATTTATTCAACTGTCCCCTGTGCTAATTATTTTTCGGATCCTCGCGCACACCGTACATTTCTCATTAAAATTTTTTATTCTAAGGAGAAAAATTAAACAAGGTATCATTTCTGTGTTTTTAATTTCCCCGGATTTCGAAAAACAAGGACAAATCGAACCTTATTAGAAATTTAAATTAGACGACTAAACACCTCATGTGTGACCGAATAAGAAAATACGTCAGTTCCTAGCAGTACATCTTATTGACGTATTTTGATTGTACGTATTGTTTATTTAGTAACTTTAAATAAAACCTTTATCCAAAAGTAATTACACTCGATTATTAAATTTTATGTAGGTGTTAACCAGGGTTTATTGTAAATATGTAAATATGATTTATTAGGAACTCCTGGAAAGATCAGTCTTAATTCCACAACATCCACTGGTAATACAATTTTTTTTTTAACGAATGCCTATTGTACAAAATCGATGTTACAAAAATGAAACATTTTCATGTTCTGATCGGTTTTCAAGTCTATGACTCACAATTCTGCCGTATTCCGTGACCGGTTTTCCAGAGGTCGGAGATAATTGGGATGGGCAAAGCACGGTCTAATAATCGAATAAATTACAGTCGCAGGCATATCACAAGTCAGAGTCTGATCGAATATGGAAATTGCAAGGAGATAAGTTTTATTAAACAATTTCATGAGCTTCAGCGAGTCTCTGACGCGTCTCAAATACTTAAGTCCAGTGTAAGAATTGAATGAAATCCATTATGTTTAGTTGTATTATTGACCAAATTATTTCTTTCAATTAATTATTCTTTTTCTTTAAGGTCTTGGTTGAGTTGAAAAAGTTAGTATCACGAGCGGGTTTCGAACCCACGACCTTCGGCTCAATGCGAAATCATGATAGCTCAATGGTTAGAGCTACGGCGTATTGAGCAAAGGTCGTGGGTTCGAATCCCGCTCGTCACACTAACTCTTTCAACTCAACCAAGACCTTACATAAAAAAAAATAGCGGTCGTTGGTGGACGCTAAAGAGTTTGTTGGAACATCACACCTGAGATTCAAGTCCAAAGTACTTTTAAAAAGTGAATCTGGTAGATCTAAATTACACTTTATCCCAAACTTTTCGCACAAAAACGGAAACGGGAAAAACAAAAAGGAGATGATTCATGTCGTTTTTAAAAACTCAGATCCCGTGGACCGAAACAAGCCAGCGAGGAAGCAGAAGAGTGTAGGACACTGAATGTACAGGTGAGTGTCATCAGCATAAGATGAAATTGGGAAAATTAAGAACTAATGGAAGATCATTTAGAAACATGGAAAAGAGTAAAGGTCCAAGAATAGAGCCCTGAAGTACACCAGCTGAAATTGAGAGAGAAGAGGAGATGGAATTTGAAGCTTTACCTCTCCGAGTTCTGACAGACAGGAGGAAATGAGATTAGTAGCAGTAGAAGAAAAACCAAAAAGATGGGTCAGTTTCCAAATAAGCAAATTACGATTTACGGAAAGCATTGGTAAAATCAAGTAGAACAATAATAGTACACTTATTATCATAAATGCCTAAGAGAATATCAACTGAGATGTGGGTTTAGGTTTCTTCGGTAATTCAATTATTAGGGCTTCCTTCCAGGCTGAAGGAAAATAGGATGAGGTGAGAGAGAAGTTCAAAATGTGGGGTATCTATTTTAAAATAAAAGAAAGGGGAAAAAATATGAGTTTAATAGGAATAAGATCGGAAATATATTTCATTCTATTTATTTTCCTTCACCTCATAAATCAATTATATTGGTCCGCAATAGCAAAATACTAATTAACATTATTTGATGTGAATTATTGCGATGTTTTGTTCAGTACGGAAATTGAGCATTTATCTTGATTATCAATTTTTGAGCGATGAAATAGGTTTCTTTCTTAAATAATGGGGCTCGGGCCCATAAATTTCATTTAACATTAAACTTATGGTACAAAAAGATACGGATTATAAATTACACGGTATTGTTTGCATATGAAAATCGAAACGCCATTTTAAATTCATTGCTTTATAAATAGGATTAGGTGCCGTTCTTTATTGTTCGATTCAATCAGATTGATTTATGTTATCAGCTGACAACGTCCACAGGTTACTGATTTAAACTATGTCTTTTTTTCCTAATGAATGCAATCGTCCTGATATTTCATTTACGTACTGCAACGGTTATGCTACCTCTACAAGGAGAGAATGCAGCAAATCGCACCTTCATCAGGGCTGAGGGAAACTGGTTCTCTCACTCCAAGAACGAGGGATTGATGCACATGAGGAAATTTTGCATTTTGTTAAAAGTGATCCCGAAACTAATACACGTGCGTTATGTATAGATCTTGGTGTTTCACAATGGAGATATTGGGATACCCTTCGTCGGGAAGGATTGTACTCTTACCATTTTACGAGGGTGCAAAGTTTTGAACGAAATGACCACCAAGAGTTGATATATTCCTCATCTACATCAATTCGCTGATCGTCTTCCCTTGCTCTTAGAGTGAAAGAACAACTTTCTCTCAGCCTCTGATGAAGTCGTTGAAAGGTGCGATCTGCTGGAACGTTTCGATGAAAACTACTTCGTATTCTCTCCTTGCAGCATTACGTTCCAGTAACCGTAAACGAAAT